TCTTTTAGAAAAAAACAAAACAAAAATGATTGGCTAATTTTATGCAGATCTTTTCTTTGAAAAAAATAGATAAATAATCCCATTCAAATTTTTTGTTGGAAGTTTCTCTTGAAGAACCTTTGACTTGTTGTGCTAGACATATCTTAGCAACCCAAGATGATTTTAAAAACCAAAAACCCTTACTTCAAGAATTAATTGAAGCAAGGGGTCATAAGATCATCTTCTATCCAAAGTTTCACTGTGAGCTTAACTACATTGAATGTATTTGGGGGCTGCTAAATGATATGTTAGACAACATTTCAATTACACATGGAAAAGTCCTCAAGAGAATGTCCCCAATGCTTTTGATTCTATATCACTGAAACAAAATTAGTAAGAGCCTCAAGATTTAAGGATTGTTACAGGAAAGAATTAACAGTGCTACATGTCGAATATACACTGGCCTACAATAATTTACTGGATTTTTTTTACTATTTATAGAATTATATATAAAATTCAGTTTTTTGTATATATGTAAAAAATTTTTTATATTTATTATTTGACAAAAACAAGTTTTCGAAATAAAACCCTAAATGTGATGTTTAATATTTAAAATTTTTAAAATGAACAGGCTAATATTTAGTATGTCCACCTTTAGCCTTAATTACTGCTTTGACATGATCTGGTAAGCTTAAAATTAAATGATGTAGCATTTCTATTACATTTATTAATTCCTGTTTAGATTTAGGCAGAGGTTTTACATACTTGATGATCCAGATTAGTGATGGGCATAGAAATTATTTTGATAAATAACCAAGTTATTAAGTACTTAATAACTCTATTAGTGACTTATTAACTGTTAAAAAACACAAACTTGCAGATCTTTATGGGTAACAAAAATTATTAAAAAATAATACTAATTGATTTACTTATATATACAAAAAACCAATAATTATTAATTACATAATTCAATCAAAAATTTTAAAATTGATTAAAAATTAATAATTCAATAAAATTAATACATTGGTCCTAGAATTGTTTGGATACCATCTTTTAATGATTTCTCAACTAACTCAAAATTAAAAATTTCTGTTAACTTGGGAACCTCATCTTTTCTAGTGATAGGCATAAAAATTTATCTTTAAAATGATCAAGTTATTAAGTAATTAATAACCCTATTAGTGACTTATTAAGTGTTAAAAAACACAAAACTGAAGAACTTTTATGGGCAATAAATTTTTTACAAAAATAACAATAGGGCTTCCAAATTAGGAAAGACTTGGTCTGTATATAGGTTTTCCTTGGGTTAATAACTCTTGCTCAGAATGAGATAGTTAATAAGTGGTTAATAACTAATTAATAACTTGGAATTATTAAGTGTATGGTTAAAAATTCCCATCACTAGACGCGTACACTAATTATTTATCCTATTGGTTTTTTTTTTGGTAGGACAGACGTGAATTGATTTTTTTTTTCTTGGAAAAAACAATTTATTTTTTGACAGAGTCCAAGGTGACAAAACGTGAGTGTTGTTGTTTAGTTTGGTTTGAATCTCCTAAAGAAGAAGTGTTAATAACTAACCAGAGGTACTTTTTTTTACTTGTATTGATATTTTTTAATTTATATAAATATTTTAATTGGAAATCAAAATGTGGAGCAGATCATTGCTGGGTAATTACAAGATTTTCATTGATAATATTTTGCTTTTCATAATCAATATTAATAATATTAATATTACTATATAATTACAAGAAGATGTCAAGGCAGTACACCATTGAATATGAGACATTTCAAATATGCAATGTTTGATTATTGAAAATTAGCAGGCATTGAAGCACACACGCTACCTTGAACACATTACAGTCATTCTCTAACCTTCCTTGTGTATAGTGTGGGTCACACTAACACATCAAATAAAAATTGACCAACTTTAAAACCTATAAAGAAAATATTGTGTGCTTGTCTGAAAAAATTAGAGACGATAT